CGTCCTAATTAGTAAAAAGCACGGGTCGAAATTTACCGAAAAAAAAACGATGTTTCGTCTGAACCTACATTGAATGTTCGTCTAAATCGATGAAATGTGTTTCCTTTCATTAGATTAAGCTGTTCTGAAGAAGCATACACGCATATGAACAATGGGGATAACAGCTTTATTTTTATGCTATTTATAGAATATCAATCCTTTTTCTATATAAGGAGCCGGTTAGATGCGAATATTTCTGACGCCGATTTTATATTATGGGTAAAATATTTTACTAAACAAGTCCTTTCCAGAAATACAACGACACTTTAATGTTGTTGAACAAAATGTGCCTACGAGTTAGTAGTAGCGAAGGGCTTTGTTGTCTGTACATGTCTCTGTACATAGTTGTAGCATGGTTCTGCTACATATATATCTTGTCAATGACCAATCGGTATCAGAGCTATTTATTTGGAATAGAATATACATTTTTCCGATAATGAACTCATCGATCCTATTGAGACAGCAATAGAAGTGGCCTATCTTGAAACGATTCCTTGAGTCTTTTTACGGCAGACGTTTAGCGGTCGTATAATCCCTGATTTCCTTTCGATTTTCATCCAAATCGTTTATATTGCCGCCACGTAATTCGGGGCAACTATTTCTATTTCTGCAACAAGAGTTCGCCCAAAATCCATTATTCTATGGCGAGCTCGATCGCCGTGTACGTGATATGATGTCTTGATAGCTAGTCTCAGTTAAAAACCTGCGGCCTTACCTTTCTCGGAGCTGTGGTGCTCGACACGCCATCAAACGCCTCTTAGCTAACAGTGAATTTTAATTAGGAAGGCTGAACCTGGCACAGGTAAAAGCCGTTGATGAATGATTCCCGTTTTGTAAACAGATATATGGTATACCTGGATCGCGATCTACGATTGCAGTATATGTTCGGTCTATAGCGACTGCGTGGCGCGTGAGTATTTTGTCAAAGTATATCCAGATTGCTTCTGAGCCATTTATGCGCTCGATCCTAAGTATACTGATAACAAAGCGGAATTTATAGTGTTCGCTAAATACATCGATGTTGCTATCATCGACTTCATCATATGTCATACAACATTTATGTCTGATCGGGTTTTTCACCGTTTCAAATAAGCTTCACTGATACTGTGTCGTGCATCGCTCGGGACACTACAGCTTGCAAATCTGTCGACGCGACCGTCTTCCAGTTGAACGATCTTCAATGGTGTTGCGCGAATATCATTGCGTCATAGTACGCTATCGCATTAGTACTACGCTTGTTAATTTATTTTTCCAATAACGAGTATTTTTCAGCGCTCATTATGCTCATAGTGCAAATTCACAGGGGCTCACAGTGGCGTTACCCGGGATGTCCGGGATCTCTTGCTGAGTTTCAGATGGACACATTACGAGGGGTGCAACAAGACGCCGTGGCATTGCGTCATGTCCGACGCGTTCCTTTGCACGATGTGCACGTACAAGCGTGCTTTTCTTGATTTCGATCCTTGCTTACACCAGCGTTCAATGGCTGAAGGCTTTATTGACAGCAGGCAAGGTGATTACTGCAGAAGTGGGACAAATAGCATATACATAGCGTGCACACGATTATCGTTTTTTATTCTATTATTGTTGTCCACTATGCTTTGGTGGATGGGCTGAATACTGGGCAGTGTAATGGCATACGCTAAGTCTTTCTGCCAGCAAAATGTAGATAGCCCCATGATATCCGACAATTCAACGGCTGTCCTAAGCGTCTGGAACCACTGTTTCGATGTAGCGCTTTTACTGTTTGAGCCTGAACATAGTGGAACAGGGAAATGTTGAAAACAACACGAAGAGGGACAAAAGCAAACGTACCTCTTCTTTAAGAGACTGAAACGCAGTGAAAGTCGGCTTAGTTGAAATAGATTGGAAGGGCCGTAGACAAGGTTACCTCTTTAGCAGACTTTGCAACTTTCGTCGAGTGGCGACGCCGCCGTATAAAGCACACCGCGTGGATTAGCATCGTCGAAAGCAGCATCGCGTCGAGTTGGTAATCGTCGTGTCAGCTGCTGAACGAATGTGACGGAAATTATCGCTCCGTTAAAAGCCCCGGCAAAGACTTTCGCCTTTCTGAATTTCGGTGGAGGAGCATCGTTCGGGTGCTGAAAAAAATGTGTTGTGACGAACGGGTTAAATGGGATGCGAGAGAGGAATACGCTGCGGAGATGACACTGCTACGCTGGGCGTCATGATCATTACAGCACGCAGCGACGTGTTACAAACAGCAGGCGCCAGGACGGAAATAGATCAGGCTTTTTAGCGAGCATAGGACCGCGTCAACGTTGCGTTGTCGCTCGACGGGCGCTAGTCCCTAAAGGCAGTCGGTCGCGCTTGTCGGGTGACCGAATACTTTTAGAACAGAGGCGGTCGTACAGAAAGGATTGCTTTGTGTTTTGTAACTGCAGCAGTTGTGATTATTTGGATCGCTGTTATTGCAGAATCCTCCCGCAGCAGGAGGAGCAATGGTAGCCGTCGCCCTTTCTACTACCATAAACAAGTCATGAGCAGTTAGAGAACTAAGAGTTTCGGCTGTGTTGGTCGATTTTGACCCGTTAAAACTGACCCGAAGGTCGCGAGATCTTCAACCTGACAGAGCCGGAACGACGGATTTGTTACAAGTCGCGGTGTGGCTTACCGAACTGTCGGCGAAGGTCCAGCACACATTATTAAGCAGGGAACTCTCTATCGTTCACGGCTGTACGCTGTTGACAACTTTCACTCGATTTGTGCTGTCTGAGGTGGTGATTTGTCATGGTGATGTGCCTGAAAATGGGTAGACCACCGGCATCGGCGGGAGTTCAGCACGAATCCTTCACGACCTATGATACGAAGAGTGTCTGTCTGCTTGCCATTGGAATGGATACACGGAGGTGGCAAAAGGGGATGAAGGAAGAAGGAGAGGACAGTGCGACGCTGAGGGCAAAAGGAGACTAAAGCCAAAGATTGGGGTAACGAAGGCTGATAGTTAGAGCTTGGGATTCTAGATTGCACTTTGCTTCCGCACCATTACCTCAGAGGGTAGCGTCTAGGCACGGGTGGACAGAGGAACGAGAGAAACGGCGTCGTTCGCATTGTGCTGGTGGCCATTGCCATGCTTCGCTTTCATTTCATCTCGCTTTAATCTTTCGGCTATGTAGAGTTGCCTTTGCCCTTTCAACCCTTAGGTAAATTCACTTCGAACCAGCCAGTCAACGCTGCTATAGTACAGGCGTGCATCGGTTGCAAAATGTTTTTCCGTCGACCGCCCAGCGCGATCGCTGACTATGAAGTGTATCGTGACGTAGTGTGGCCTTGTCTTCATCATTTTTGTAGTGTCTGTATTGACTAGTCCGTGGAACCATGAGGCGTCTTCGCTCAAAATCCGCCATTGCCATTACCCGCCTATGTCCAAGCTTAATGTTAAACCTAGCAACGGGCTGTTTGGCATAAGCAATGATTTCAACAACTTCAGTTAGCCGTTGTAGAGAGGTGTTATTTGGTTGGAGCAGATTGGCACGCTCAAACGGAGTAACAGCGCTCTTCAACTGGCTATTTGCCTACACATCGTGGTACCTCTTGACCATGTTCCGGCTGCACGGCTACGAATCATAGCCATTTGCCCATGCCTTTTCCCTGAATTTCCAAACATGCCGTCTTTCCCGTATTCTTCCGAATCGCCCAGACTAACAGAAGCGGACTCCTGATTTACTCCATGTGACCTGTAACTTCTTCTCTTCATAATACCGCTCTCGCACGCATTTGTGTCGTTCTGCGCTATAGACTTTCACTACGGATCTACTAGAGAGTTATACTCTATTAGAAGTAGCATCCAGTGACTGGAGTTCCTCCTGAGACCCCCTTTCCTCATGTTGTTAAGCTCGTATATATGGCCCCCGGCCTGCTACACTCATGTGTTTGCACGGTCTGAATTTTTTCGGTTTTGACCGTATTCGCTTTCTCAGTTCTTGTTTTTCGATCGTGCTCTTCTTGTTCATCTTCTGTATCATCACATTTCCACTAGTAGATCTTAGGAACGTCGTTTCACGGCCACTCTTGATTGCCACCGCTAGCTTTTCGCCGTGCTGACCCATTGGAACAATATTTCCAACGAGAGCGGGCATTTCAAGAGGACAACGATTCGTCGCACAAGACTTGGTTCAAGCAGACAACAATCAGGTGTGAAACCATGTAGAAGTGATGGTCGAAGCTGACGATGTGTGGCAGCTTTGACGTCTTCGTTTAGGTGTCGATTCCAGTTTGCTTTACTACGCCGTCCTTACCGTCAGCCTGCTTCTGCTGTAGACGCTCGTTTCGGTTTTTATCACTAGGCGAATCATAGCTATTGAGACTTCTCTTGTCCGCACCGTCTTTGCCATAAAGTGACCTAGTTAGTTCACCGTTCTCGCGTATTGAGCCTGTTTGGTCTGAGAATTGCGTCATGTTACCGTCTGCCTTAACTAGGTCGCAGTTAATAAATTATTTGAAACGTTCGCTAATGGAACTTCATCGGTTCACAAGTATAAACAGCCCAAGAAATTCGACACACCCCTGGCAAATGCCTATTTCTAAGGGACTACTTGGTGCCCTAACAGAAATCGGATACACGTGTACAATAACAATAGCAGTAGAACTAGCAGCGACGAAGCAAGGCTTGAAACTTTTGCGACGGTTTGGTTTTCCCTTTTGGTATAGCAAATTTAACTTCGTCGAACTTACGCGCTGTGTCAAGTTTGGGGTATCAGCCACTTCTACTGTCAACAGCAGGCCGTTACGACGAGCGCGTGCAAAGTCCGTCGTATGTACAGCTGGCGAACTAATTATTTAGCTGCACCCTGCGCTACTCTTATAGGAAAAGGCTTTATCACACTGCTCGCCGCATGGAGCGACTGACGGGCCTGCCAAGGCCCTTTTGGTTCAAGTTGATTTGCGCCTATATTCTAACCGCTTCGTCAATAGACTACAAATCAGCGAAAAACCGCAGACGGGCATATTTGTGTCATCAAACACCGATTATAAAGCTGAAGGTTTCAGGAAACGCTGCACTTTTTTGGTAATAACTTTTCGTTCCATAGGGACATCGAAGAATCCATAGCGAAAATTTGCAACGACGGTAGCGCCAGAAACTTAAATTCCAAAAGTTAAAGCAAATACGAGAGAACTACGTCGATAGCCGTATTTTGTCGATCGGGCGTTTGCCAAACAGTGCCATTTAAACGTGAGGTTGCTAGCGGGGACCTTGTGCTTGTGGGATGTTCGTCCAGTATCTTCACGCGCGGAAGCTCGCTGGAAACGATGCAAATTCAAGGAGAAAGCGTAGAGAAAGCAGCTTAGAGAAGTTTTGGCCTGAAACTCATTCCCCGCTGTGAGCAAATCTGCCACATAGCACAACGTTACCTTCATTATGTGGCCAACTTGCAAACGGCGGGCTATAAACGGGGGCTATTTGGGTTGTAACAAGGAGCGTACTTGTCGAGCTACAGTGTTTGTCAAAAGTAAAAAAATCAAGCAAAACATGCCATGTCTGTGACAGTGTCATACGGCATCATTTACTTATGTATATATGTTCGTACCTATGCAATACGTTTATAAAGAATCGTGAGCCATAATCGTGAGAATCGTGGCACATACTATGCCGTTAAATGAAACATTCGCCGGCTTTAACATATATACGGTATATTACACAGTTTGATTATCAAAAGATACTAAATTTGTAGATTTAACGCCAAACATACACGCAGCACATCAAATTAGACAACTCCGCTATATAACAATATATATATATATATGTAGAAAGTGGAATTACCTAGCCAACAGTGGATTGATATTTAGAAATAAGCAGCGCTTCATAGTTGAATTAGTTCCTGCAAGTTTAACCTACATATTTGTTTAACACCGAATATGACATGTAGCTAATTTTCCTACCGTAATTGTAAACTGGTTTTTATCTCTACTCGCCCAGTTTGTAGTTATCTCTTTAGCAATCCGCACCATTATCAAGATGTTCGTATTTGTTTTACTCAGAACATATCTGCGCGAAGTGCTACCAAAAAAACAGACTCGCAAAAGAACCATTTGATCCCTGCGGATAGCTGCGCTGCTACTGCCTATGAACGGTTTCCTACGAGCTGCGCTGAAGACTGCCAAAGTAAACAAGTTTAAGCGGATGCGAAGAGGTCTCTGTACAGGAGAGATTGGTTGGCGGTGCGACGCAATATGCCGGCAAACTGGACTGGCAGCAGTGAGCAACCAGGCTAACGACAAATGGCTGCACTCTCTCCGAAAGACAAAAAGATGAAACGGCGGGCCAAAACAAACGCATTATTTTCCCAGAAGCCTGTATTTATAGGCAGACCAAATAACGCAGCCGATTTCTTCCATCCGTCTACCCTACAGACGCCTCGTCCTGCAAACGTTACACTACCGCCACCTCTAAACCGTTAGCAGAGCGACGCCTGGGATATGTGGGGGTGAAGGTTTCACTCCGTTGATATTACTGCTATATTGCTACTTAGTCCTCTCTCTCTTTCCCTTTTCGTTTTCCACTCAGTTACTCTTCGTATCTCAACGTCAATGCGTTTTGCCGTCGAATAAATAGGCCCAATCGAGTCCATCGAACGCTGTAGCCGGCCACCTGCTATAGGCGTAGTGATATCTCAAAGCATCCAAATCAGTGTGATCTAGACATCTATCCAGGACCATACCATAGGCTGTCAGTAAGCCGTTCGTTTCGGCTAGCAAGTTCCGCACGCCCACACATACAATGAGGCCAGCTCAACCGCCTTATTTTCCCCTGCGGATTCCCCCTATGTTAGGCAGAAAAGCTGCAATTTTGAGATACTTTGGGAGCTTACTAATGCTGGAGCGTATAGGGTTGTAGAAAGAAGCAAAGGCGCTTTTGAATAATGGCATTACTTGAACTGGTTCAAGTCAATAGCGATACTGCTCCGCTGCCGATTCCGCTGCAGAAGCTTCTTGTTTTCCGCTGGCGACGAGGTTCCCCTATTATTTACTTCGCATATGCTGTCTGATGTGCACAGTCGCTTGCACTGTGCCAGCGGGACTATGGGCAAGTCAACTCCCCCATTGACCAATAGAAACGCGTTCCCATTGCACAAAAGGGGGGTATCTGTGTTGTCTTGCTCGCTGTAACTTCGATCCCCTTCCTAAAATTACTGTCGCTGCTGTGATGAGCCATATCATGTCTACGATCGCAAAACTGAGTAGGCACGGATACTGAGCCTGTTTTGAGTGAGACTGAAGTGGCATCTATGCACGTTTTTATGTCTCACAGGTGGAAGTACTAAGTACTTGGGATATTATTCCTTTCCAATCGTTATCCAACCGCTCAACTCCTAAGAGGGTACTTGTTGCCACTCTTCCTTCTTCTTATTATTACAGCTGTTTCTATGAAACATTATCACGTAAGCTAGCGTGCACGAATAATCTGCGTCATATCTGCGAATAATCGTCATTAAAGCAGCTTGGCAAGCTGCGACTGGTGCGCTACTATAGCCAACAGCTTAGGAAATGCCCAAGCAACAGGAAGCGACAGAGAATTTCATGAAACGTTCGAGAATCTAGACTATTTTACCAACTGCTCCTATCTACTGCACTTGATTCGTTGTCGTCCCTCACACCGTTTCGTTCGTCCGTCTTTTATAGTGTCGCCCTATAGGTAGCAACAAACGCTTTCTAACTACTTGCCGCGCTGCTTACATTTATTCGTTATTCCCTACCCCAGCCGTGCCTCACGGTTAAAAGGTAAAACGCCCACAAGGTGTCGGCATTTTACGTACCTATGCTTTTTTGCCTCGAAACGAGGGGCAATTAGGCCGATATCATGCAGGCAAGCAGTCGGTCAATAAGATAATTTGAAGAGCGGATTTGCCCAGACGACCTAGCCTAACCAGCGCATTCAAATCCAACCAACATCGAACTCCGCACTACGTCGCTGCTTTAGAGTCGATGGCCAGGAAAACCCACGGAGGTAAAAAGTGAACGAAGTTAGTACGAGAAGCTTGTGCGTCTGCCTGAATTCGGAACTATGTTTGGATAGAAAGCACGCGATACCCATGAAGAGCTTGAAGTGTCATCGGGTCGGTAGAGAACAACCCTTTAAAGAAAGGAAAGAGCGACAGATAGCAGAGGGCGGCTAAGCCCTTCATCTCTCTCTTTCTCTCTGTTTTTCTCTGTTTTCGTCCGTGCGTCTCAGTGACGAGAATTGCTTGTGATTGAACTTTTGTTGTAAGAGGTCTCCCCCCTCGCTGACTGCTGCCAAGCGACCATTGTCACCCGCTGCTGCCGTCTTTGGTATAGGCATACTGCTTCTGCTTTCTGTCCGTCTCATTGTTCAAAACGCGGAGCGCAAGACGCTAAAGCTTTAGGCTGCCAGCTAGGGCGGCTTGTTCCAAGCTTTGACCCGAATTCGGCCGTGACTGTTGATATCCGAGCTGTAGACACTGAGGGTACCCCGAGGGGCTTAAAAACCCCGAAAGTATGAGTGCAAATGTGTATGAATGAACATTCAAATTACTACTTTTCCGCGACAATGTAGCTAATCAGCACTTGTTATAGGGTTATGCACAGGCGTATCATAGATATATTACGATGCTGGCATGCTTCGCCTTTTACGAAGAAGCAAAATCCTAATATCGTACTGCAGGAGTCGTTGAACAAGTGAGAATAGCCTGAAGGCAAGAATGAGTGCCAAACTGTCTGAACCTCACCCTTGGTGCCTTACCCATCTTTTCATAGGACCTTTGCCCTTTTTCTATTCAGTCCCTATTTTTGAAGATTTCTTGCTTAGCTCGCCTCAGTCAGAATCTCTCACTACTCAGTGTTGGCTCTTCTCTGCAAGATCCGTCGCAAAACGAAAGGCAAATGGATGCGAAGAAATGCTTTCTTACGGGTTATTCAAACGCGCCTACGTTGAGCAATGCTTACGAGTCAATTGCTGTCGCTGAATGTCCTCTTCATATTCGTTTGCCTTGCCGCTATGTGTTTGTCTGTTTAAAGCCCTAGGAACGCCTCGAAATGCTCACGTACATCGTTGTTTCATCACCAACCTTGGTGAGGGAGCCTGCTGTAGTCTCAGCTTCTGTTGCTGATCGCCTACAAAACAACTTCAACTGTTTTCGTTTTTCTGATCCATCTGCCACTCCCCCATATCTTCTCGCATTGATTCTCGTCTCGTTTTTCTCTTTGTCTTTAGCTGCATGTGAACGTGCACCCATGTATCTGTTTGTGACCGAGCGTTGTGTCCGGCCCTGGTTCATAAATTTGAGGGGGTTTCGTCAGCTTCTTTGCTTGTATGGGTATGCGTGTACTTGGTGCTTATGTCTCCGTGAGCCGCCTACCCCCTACATATTCGAACGGCTAGTCGGCTTGTTCAGCGGCAGCTTTGTATCTGACGTTTTTACAACCAATCGACGGCAGCCGGTTCAGCATATCCCGGTGAATCCTTTCCTACGTTCGTCTTGGCCTTTCCCTCTCGTTGCGTCTATATTTTATTAGTATGCATAAAAATTGGACCTGAAGGGGAACAGGGAGGCGGCTTACACTCGCTGCTTTGCTCCGACTGCGATACGCGGCCAAGCGGTAAGCAAGCAAACGGGAGTGTACAGCGAGAATAAAAGATAACGAGAGAAATGAGGAAGAGGTGAAAGGAATCGAAACAGCAGGAAAAGCGGTACCAGCATCAATACCGCACTAAGAGGCCTTTGCTAGCAAGCGATTGCGCCAACTAGACGCTTTTGCATCCGCCTCACGACCACCCTTGGCTTGGCGAGAAGAACGCCGTCGCTCTTGCCGTCGGCGGCAAGTGGGGGCCAACCCACTGCTACAGCTCAGCCAACAGTAGCATCCCCTGCCCCATCGAAATTTGTTCGCTTGACCCAGTTCCCTTTTCCTTATAGGCCTCTGCTGCCACAAGCGCTCGCTACGGTGCTCGACGTTCAAGCGCTGTGTACGTGCACGTTGGGTCGTAGGACGTCGACCGAACTAGCCGCCAGCCATTGACGGGTTTATGGTTCTGTTCGTTTTTGCCTAATTTAATTCGTTGGTCGACTTTGATGCTCGAGCAAGCGATGGCCGCGGCGGCAGTAACGAAATGGCAACCAAGGCAGCCAGGGCGGTGGCATCGGCTGCAGGGGTAGCGGCGGCTGTTTCAGATGCCTCTCTGCTTGCATGCAGCTCTCCGTCTTCCGCGGCGCTACAGACGCCGGAACTTCTTCTCCTGCTAGCACTATGCGTCTAGCTGCTGCTACTACAAATGGACGAAAGGGATGCCGCAACGATCTCATATAAGAGGCAAAAAGGCTTGCTCAGCCTACAGGCCGGAACGATCGAGGCAGATTCGAGTCAAATGGTAAACATGCCAGCTGGGTCGATGTCAGTTAAGTCGTCAGAAATATCATCACCTGTCAGAGTGTACCGCTTTTCCTGAAGGCCGAAAGTTTGTGCTGCATTTGGCGGTTCGGACGGTGGAGTGCCGGTCAGCCATCGCGTCAATCTCAATCCATCGAGATCGTCGGTGGACCTATGTGCCCCTGTGCTCCCGTCGGCGCTTTTGTTTTGCCAACATCATGGAACAGAGTGGCATCGAAGCATCAATCTCACTCATTGTTCCCTGTCGTCTGCTGATAGTCCGTCCTGCTCGTGCTGGTCATGTACCGTTGTTCTTCTCTGTCGTCCTTTTCCTATGGCTAACATAAGCTAGGCAATCGGCCGTTTTCTATCTAATCCATTTTCCATTCTTCGCAATACGACCAGGTTTTTATGCAGAACGAACTGGGACTTCAGTCACTTGAGGCTCAGCTGTTCTGACAACAGGCACACTGCTGCCTGCTATCTCTGCTGCAAGCGGACCTATGGGTAAACGGGTGAACGAGCAAACGTGTGCATATCATCCTCAATCAGAACCGAAAGGCCCGAAGCGGCGTATCCTTGTCATGTTGAAAATACTTTCAACAACGAAATCGAATGCTGTCCTAAGCTAACTGACTGCAGTGTCTGTTACTTGAGGGGTTACCTCCACACAACTACTAGAGAATGCAAGGGAGCGAACGTCTCCCCGCGAGTCGTCGGCATGCAAGGACCCCAGGAACGGGTTAAGCCCAAGTTCAGGATCAGGCAAAGAACGGGCAAGATAATCGAACGATTCCTCTTCCGAATGAATGTTAATTTCTCCGTATCTAACCGCTGCCACTACCGTCGCCGACACGCCTACTCCTGATCCAGTGATCCGCTCTGATCCGTCGGGGCCTGATAGGAGGTTATTTCGAATTTTTACCACAGAATCTAGCACTCGTCGGTGCCCGGAGTCTCTGCGCTGGCAAATTGTAGACCTATCCAGTCACCAACCATCTCACCTATCAGCAGTAACATCAGCAATCACCAAAGTGCTGCTTACCGATTCGGTTGCGAGAGTGCGTCATTCCCTTTTACGAAGTAGGGCCGGGTTGGGTTGCTTCATTGACCAGCAAGCGTATCGTGTTACCGCTATCGTCGACCTCCTCATTTTCATTGGTCGGGAAAGGTCTGGTCATCTGCACGTGTACAACTCACCCAACTTTACAAATTTGCAAGCTAGCAATGAATATTGTTCGCATTCTATACGAGAACCGTCGTTCGTCTCGCCATTGATTTGTTCCTCTCCTCCGTTCGTCTATGCGAGTTGAAACGGAAAGGGAGGGACAGAGCCAAAGTGACGATCGAGTGCAACACTACCTGGTATGCAGATGCGAGCCTATTGGGTGTATTTTCGGTACCCCCTTTAGCTGCCTCCACTATCCCTTTGTCTCCTCGTCCTCTACTTTCAGTCTTTCTCGATGATCGAACTCGTAACGCGCAGTGATAAACGATCGATAGAAGGTTAAAAGTGGGCATGTAATCACTGCAAAGGGCTAATTAATGCCCTAGAGGATGTTTCGTGATTTAGTCCCTTAGTATTATCTCAAACTTTCTATTCACTAGCGTTTGGCTAGCTGTGTAGCCTAAACGGCATTCTAACAATAGCGGCAACGCTGGTTGCGCTGTATTGAGAGTATATGTTACGATAGAGAAATAGTTATTCAGCTCAAATAGCTATTTTCGCGTGTTATCTGTTCTCGTATTCCTGTGACCTTGCTAGCTATCATAGAATAAAGTACAACCGTGCAATAATAAAATTTCGTCTATTCACGCATTCATTTCTAAACAATGATGAACGAAGCTGCTATGTAAATAACGCGTCCCCCTAAAGTGATTCAAAGGCCTTTTTACAGAAATAACGATACTTTTCCCGCGACCGCTCTCCTTGCCTAACGCTATCTCGATCAGTCGAGCGGAAAACAGACTCTGAAATACGGGGTTACCTAATCATGTGCAAGATTCCGCAAGTGTAAACATTTTTTTTTTTTTTGTTTTTGCTTTACTATTAATACAGACTGTGTTAGCGGCTTTTCAAACCTATTATCCATCGTTGTTCTATAGTAGGTGCGTACTCATCATGAGCAGTTAGCTGCGACCTAAATTAAAAGCAAAGTAGGCTTCTCCCTTAACCCTATTCTTGTCGACTATATTCTGAAGGTTCTTATAATAGTTTGTCCTAATTAGTTACTATTTCCAGTTTTTTTGTTATCGCAGACCGTATCGTTGCTTAGTTTAGTAAACGGTAGCCTTCTTACCAAGCGACTATCCTTAGTGTGCATCGGAGACCTCTGAAAAAATCCAGAAACGAAGATACGACCTGAAAACGCAAGAAAAGTGAAGTGAACCATGAAATCGAATCACACGGAGTGGGTGGCCTGGAAAAAATAAGGGATTCCAGTAGCTACAAGTGAAACAGAGGTTCGAGTGGTTCACTGCGCGCTAGAAGCTCAATCAGAACATTGCATGAATTTTAGTAGGGCTCTGAGGTTAGAAGGGGAAATCGTAGGGGTATGACAAGCAGACACCCCCTGCCGCAACAGCGGGCTAGAAACAGTAAAAATGATTCGGTCTCACCAATAGAAAATTCATCGACTAAAGTCTGGCATACAGTGTTCTTCACGTCTGCATTGGATTTAGATATATTGGACCCCTGAGAACACGGCTAGTGCACGCAACATATCACAGCAGGATGGGATTTGCTTTGGGTTATTTGAACCTTGCCGTGGCCTTCTTCGTCAATGCTTAGAAATGTGCAGGCAGGATACCGGTAGTTGATAATAGGCCTGAAGAACAGATCGCAAAATTTGCCAAAGTACAGGTAAATGAGAAACTGGGTAGGATGGTATGTCGTTTGCTGAGATTAACGTTACGAATGAGGTAAAATCCTTCTGACAACCACTTGAATATGTTAAGTATGCATCAAGAACTACTTCATCCCTCAGAAATAATTTAATATACTGTGAGCCCTAAATATGGTCTCTATATTGTTGTTTTGATCAATGTCCTTTCACACAATTTTTACGATTACATCTACGCAGAAAAAAACTAAAAAGAAAGATCCGATACAATTTACGAAGCCATTGGCTATTTGTACGAAACAAGTTTGGTCAGATTCTTCTAAGCTGCTTTCAAATTTTGTATCGTACTAACTTAATACAGTTATGCTCATTAACGGAACTTCCGTCTGCATTTTGCATTGTACTTTTATTAGACATACAAGCCTCCTGATCAAAAGCTAACAGTAATGGAACTGTTTCAGTTACTATCAATTCCCTCGTAAAGATCTCGTAAATGAAGTGGTCTGAATTTTAGGCTCAATACCGCCGTTAAGCACTGCGTCAGACGGTTTTCCAACCCGAATCATATATCTACACACCGTCACGAACTTACACCGACATTTGTACTTCTAAGTCTAGTAGGCAAACACATTGCCAGTGCACCACCCCCACGAAGACAGGTATCGTTATATATACGTAATATTTTTGCCAGGGGTTTGCTTCAAGGGTATTGCAGACGAGGATACATTTATATATAGCTCGAGATTCTAGCTGTCATTTATCTGTACGAAACAACCGTACATATCACAATCGTCGCGCTGGGCAGCGAGCCACTCGGGACTACTGACAGCTGTCGCCCAAGAGAACCATCCAATTAAGTTATAAATATTTTCCTACGGCACAAACAGTAGTAGTTAGGTCTGCTATACGACGAAAATGTAATGCTAAGTCGTAACGCAACAAAAGGACTAGGATGCATTGAACACGGCCTGGCAATGCCTTCGGCGTCGGGGTGCATTCACAACTTCTTCGATATTATCAGGGATTACAGAGCTTCTCCAAAAAGAACCCTTTTCGCGCTCACAACAGTGTCGAACATACATCGGCCGTGACCACTTAGACGAAGCGAAAGCTTTTTCAGACTATCCTCTTGATACTGGTATACGCACTTCTGCAGAAACGTAGCTTATGTAAATATCGAACTTCATATAGTAACGAGTTGTTCGAAAGCTAGAAAAGACACCTTCGATGTGGTTAGCGAGTAAAGCGCCCATACATGCTCCCTATCCAAATACCTAGTGCTACTGTCGGAATAGTATCAACTAGAACACGTGCGTATTCAGACAGCGTAAATCGAACGTTTTGCCGTAATCGAACTTCATCTGTGTAGAAAATACGTACTTTTTATAGTTGCTTCATAATAGCTACATGCTTTTACAAGTAAATTTCACTGAATCAGAAACTTTTTTGCGGCGCTGATTCCAACCTACGATAACCAAAGGCACACATGAATCCGGCTACTGAACCAGCAAAGCAGTATATGCAGCTCTCTATGGTAGTTGGATTAATGCAGTTGAAATTCTTACTTGGGTACAAGGCAAATACCATATATTTATTTGCCGAATTTTCGTCAAACAATGAATTTATCTCGGCATTAGTATATAAGCCAATGGAGACATTACCACTGAGTTAATCTTCAAGGGCTTCGTTTAGGTGAGGCTTCATCACTGTGAGCCATTCAGCACATTATGATAATTGCATCGGTATGTTTTGACCGGTACTTACATAGAAAATCATATTAGATATGTTGAAGATTGCAAAAAATGAAGAAGATCAGCTAAATCATTCTAACTGATCTTTATGTCATTTTCCGTTTGTCCTAATTAGCGCAATAACGTGACCGGTCAGCGATACGTCCGTAATCCAGTCTAATCCTCCTGTGAATAAAAACCGCTGGTGTTTTGATAAGTAAAAGGCGAACGATGCACGTGCCAAAAAGAAGAGCTGCACAAAAGAGCTGAGTTGAACGGGCTCAGAAGTAGGAGCTGGTGAAGAAGACGACCGCCGCTACAAGATGATGGCGACGATTGTGGGCCGTAGAGAACTGCGACGAATATTCGGGTCGGCGATAGCGGCAGCAAGGACTAAACTGGCTCGGTGGCTCATGTGCGTCGGCTGTTTGCAGCCGTTGAAAAAACAGTCGCGCCCCTAACGGAGCTGCACTTCGCTTTCGCAAACGTTATTAAGTGCTTGCTTCTTCGACGAGGAAGAGGAGCTTGCCTATGGGTACTTGGCTAATGTGGGTACAAAAGCGAATCCCTGTAAGATGTGGGTGACATATTCCAATTTGGTCTTTTTTTACCACGAGGAGTGCCGTCACAAGCAAAGAAGAAGAGGACGACAACGACGTTGTCAACCTAGCGGGCCAAACCAATCTCAGATTTGGCCTGGTCCAGCATGACTTCCTGGCTCAACGCGGCTTGACTAAGTGCTACTGTGATTTATCCGTATGCAACGACGGGCGAGATTCTCCCGTCTGCGTCGGACTGGGAGGTTTAACATTGCCGAATAAAGAGAGAGTTTCACTGCCAGCTGCCAAGATTCGTTGACCATCTTTATGCAAACGCTAGTCTTCACTCGAGATTTCGATAATTGGAGCATTCGACTCTGCTAGATTCCCTAGTAGCGTGTTGAGGTTAGCGTAATAATGACACCGACAGATTTGAACATATTAGAACTCAGCTTTTGGCGTTTCGAAATGGATAACAATAATCTGTAGTGACCCATATGCGACGATTTCGACTTCCACGAGTCACATCGTCGGCCGGTCACCAGCGACTGCGAAATGTCTGGGGTTGGAGAAAGCTTGAAGAAAGTGTGATAAAAACGGGTTAATAAAAAAGCGTGATACGATGATTTCTTCTTTTCTGGACCTCATTTCGTGATCTGCCTCCGTCTTCTGGCTACGATTTTGCCCACATTCGTTATGAAAGAAACGGGGAAGGTGTAAGGGGAGGATAACATTCACATACGTTTTACAGATATGGACTTACAGAGGACGGATTAGCCTATATCTCTCGTATATACACTGGCCTTTCACGGGTTAACCCCACCTTTAATTTACTTCGAATTTGACAATCGCGCTACTGCCAAATTCCGGCGCTTTCTTAGGTGCTATTCAATGCTGCTTCACCTTCCTGGCCCGAACAGGCCCATCGCAAATGGCAGGTCGTCCTAATCAACGTAACAATCTTCAGAACTTCGTTTCTCTCTCAGGTCTAACTAATAGCCGCGCGTGATGGTTCAGCGCTTGAGTACATCGGCCTTAGTGTTCGCTTGATAGGAGTCCAGATCGGATAATTATTTTTGGTCTAGTTTGTGGCAACGTTCCGTTGAAAAGATGGCAGGAATAGCAGAAGACCTGTAGCCTTACCTTCCGTTACCGAAGCCTCTGAGGGTCATGAACTCGTAGTGAACTCCGTGGAGGATAATGGAAAGAACGTGAGTTTATGCTTAAGAGACGGAGGTTTGTCGTCGGCTCTTAGAAGTGCCGTAGGCTTAACTTCAATAACTTTTGAAGTAGCGATAGTTGCAGCATCAGTAATCGTAGTGGCAGCAAAAGCCAAATTTTACGACTTTTATAGAATAGCATACTCTAGTCAACGCCAGACAAAGCGTCAATGGACGCGAGATACTAGTAGACACAGCTCCTCTAAGAAAAAGTCTGAAAGTACTGATCTTTTACGTCGGTAGCCCCCATCGTCGATGTCGTCCTTCCCGACATATATCAAAGTGTTTTGTTCGCCAAGGCTTATGTATCTCTGTACGGATGGTGCGTGAGTGTGTCTTTATCATCATGAAAGTAGGCAATTGCGATGCCTATGTGTGGATGCTGTCATGGACATCTTCTTGGCTCGAACGAGATTCTTTTACGCTGCGGCTGCTGCAGCTGCTTTTTACTCAGCAGTGGTGATGGGAAGCGGGAGGTCGTGTGCTTGGTCCGGTTCATTCGGTTGCTTCGGAGATGACGGCGATCCCCGCGACGCCTGAGGGGGCTAGCAATATAAGCGGCAGCAGCGCCAGCGAAGCCTGCTGACTTCAGCCCTGAGGACGACGTAGCTTGTCGATGCCAACACGATCGGCATTAACCGGTGCCTTTCGTTGCAATAGCAACAGCTACAGTAAAAGAAGCTCCAGCGGTAGTTGCCTTGCCTCTCTTCAGCCCCCAACCTCCGACGGCCCCTTTCGGTCTATAGCCCTCTTCATTGCTTGTTTCCTTAGTCTCTCCACATCTTTTGCGCTATCACGCACGCTCCCTCGTTTTGACTGACTTATTCCCATTATCGGCTTCACTCATCGTCCTTGTGGGGGAAGTTCGAAAAAAGACGAAGAAAGTTGGCAAGCTGGCAGCAAACTCGTCGGATGGTAGAGCAGCCGAAGGACGACAGGGGTCGAACGGCTTAACGAAGCCTAGTCAAGACATAAAGTATCTCAAAGGCATGGCCAGCAAGCAGGAACGGCACTGAGACTAGCTAAGGCGACCATAGTGACGGTGGCAGACAACAAGCTGCGTACTGGGCCTTCAACTGGGAGTAAAAGCGATAACACCAACAGCGGCTTCCAGCACGGGGTGGCATGGAGGTAGACCCAAACCCAGCTATCCGGGATGGGAATCATTGTTACGGGCGGCCTCGGCAGGCCACATTGGCAAGAATACTCCTTGTCAAAGAAACAAAGCAACCTCTGTAGCTGTGACGGCAACGAAGAAGACACTGCCCGTTGGTGATGTTACTCTTCCGGAAATGAAAATGCCAGTCTATGATCCGGGCGTTCCAACGCTCATTCCCGCCGAGATCTTGAACTTCTGCAGTTTTACTTACGACACAGCGTTCTTCCAATAATGTCGCGCCCTTTGGCGCAGAAGAGGGTAGCGTCGATTTTAGTTTCGCTCGGTCAGTCGGCAAATCGCTTGGTCCACGGATCCGGGCGCAGTTGACTTTCCCACGCCCAATTGCTCCAGCAGCAACAATAATAGGGGAAGCACTGTATCATTATTGCCGATTTTGTTTTGGAAGAGGCACGGATATGACCCATCCCAGATATAAGGTCATATACACATACAATTATGCTATAAGCGACGAGGAAAGGAGCTTTGCTGAGCGACGGGTCTTGACGGACAATATATGAAGGGCAGGGCCCAAGACCCCTTCTGTCGCCTTTTGAGGTGTGCTATTGCAGTGAATATTAGTATTATTAAGCCATTCGGACGGCGGGCATTAAAAAGCGACATCCTTATTGTTGCAAGGCGCAGACCCGCCAGTGTCGTTCTATTAATAGTACGAGCAACTGGACGGATGACGTGGAAGTTACTATACCTTATGTACAGGCGTACATGTAGACCATGTAGGGGCCTAACGTAAATACGTACGACGTGTTGTTGTCGTCGTTGTTGTTGCTGTTTCGGCTTCCGCTGCTATTAAATTTCCCGTCTTTTCATTCAACCAGAGATCAAATTCTTATTGCCTGGCCAAGAGCACAAGAACAGATATTCCGGCCTCGAGTTAAGCTCAGCTAGCTAGTCGAGCGGCTTTTAAACAGTGGTATTACCAGTGACAATGGCTGTGTTGGTAATTCTGCGATCTCTGCGTTGATTTTCTTTTGTCGTGTTTTTTTTTATTTTATTTAACTATTTTAGATCAATTACTTAGTCAATGGCGGTAAACACTTCAATTTTGCGAAGATCCTTCAAAATTCGCACCTTTCCATCGACACATCATGTTTTGCTGTACCTTTTGGTGAGTCTTTAGAGAGATCGGCGTTCCACCTTTAATTTCCTGCGCTTTCTATGGGGTTCTCCATAGTAAGATAACCCTCATTAAGACTGCCTGAGACTAAAAGCTGTGCCTGCATTTTAGTTTGGCACACTTTATTTCACAGGAGAACCACAGATCTGTCGACTCACAATCGTTTATCCATCCTGCAGCCAAACATGATTTTTTACGTCGCTCGTTCACTATAGTTACCGGTATTTTTTTTCGCTGCCTTAAGTCGCTGCTCCGCCATAATGCTACAATGCTGCTGGCACTACGGCTGAGTGCGATTGAGAGTGTAGATTGAATCTTTACGTACTTCGTAAGCTGGAGATGAGGCGCTTGGCGCTTCAACTGATGCACCTGGGAGCATTCTCGTGTCTCATTGCTATTGCTATGTGTTTCACGTTTGCGTTGCTGTGTAATAGAGTCGCTGACGAGGCCGATACTAATGCCTCTTTGGCGGAAGGGCTCTTCTTTAGCCCAGGACGGCATAGCACCTATGAGGTTCAGTTGAAGCGCCAAGCGCCTCATTTCCAGCTTACGAAGTACGGAAAGATTCAGTCTATCTACACTCTCAATCGCACTCAGCCGTAGTGCCGGCAGCATTGTAGCATCATAGCGGCACAGCGACTAAAGGCAGCGAAAAAAAAATACCGGTAACTATAGTGAACGAGCGATGTAAAAAACCATGTTTGGCTGCAGGACGGATAAACATGACGTGTCGATGGAAAGGTGCGAATTTTGAAGGATTTTCGCAAAATTGAAATGTTTACCGCCGTTGACTAGGTAATTGGTCTAAAACAGTTCTATGAGGCGTATTCAAGGACCGCTTTAAGTTCGCAGCATGTGGCATTCACCGTAGGGTATCCCTGCTCATTCCAAAAACTACGTTTTCAGTTATGCATAAAGCGATGACACACAACAAGAACATGCCTATACATGAAAACGTATGCAGGCATAATGACCTATTTACCGCCTATTCATCTATCCTAGGCGAGATTCACTTCCTAACTGCACAGCCATCGATGCCAATGATGGTTCGCTTCTCGTGAATACTACTCGGGCAATGGGAGCGTCAGTACGTTAACGCTAGCACCAACAGTAATAACCCCGACAGATACAGTCGTTACGGGCACTTTTCTGCCTCACTTTTCTCTTATTTCCCCTTGTTTCTCAATCTCTTTCGTAGGCGGTGCTACTCTGCCTTACCTTGTCTGCTTCCGACGTCGCTGCAGGTGCCTTTCGCGGTAATGGCCCGCTTGTGTGTTTGCCTGTTGGCCTGTCATTAACATAGCTAGGTCTGCCGTGTTGAGCATAGTGGATCAGCGCACCTGGAAACAGAAACATATCGCTGGGGTTCCTGACTCGTAAATACGTCGGGGGTAATATGTAGTGGCCTAACAGGGAAAACAGCGTAGTCAGCCTTCGGTTTCCCTACTGATTTGTCCGCCCTTGCTAATGCTATTGGTGCATCCTATAATAGCGATTCATGCTGAGATATGCGGAACACAACGAACAGCTTGGTGAAGGGCTTAGACAGGACAATAGGCCTTTCAGCATATCAACAGCCAGGACAGCGACGATAAATAACGTAATGATGGCGGTGAAGTCTGTTTGGTTACTAATTCGTAAGTACGTTAGTAAAGACTTGTTATCAATATGCTATTGTTACGGGTTTTATATGGGCATTTATGCTTGATTTAGGTATTTGGTATGCTTTTTTGTTTGTTTCTCACATTTGTCACAAGCCGATGCTACCATTGTACCTGTAACCCCACTGGAGCTAACAGACCTGCCAACCAACATTCTGTTCTGGCTGTAACAATCAAGTAAAATCATAAATCACTCTCCCATAAGGCACGCTTGCTTAGCCAAGACCTCTTCAGAACATCATTTGTTAGTCGAAATTGAAAAGATGATAGCGGCCAGATGATTCGCTCGTTCTAGGCGACCTTTATTTATGTTCAATTCTCTATAGATGTATGAGGACGCAACTGCTAAATATTGACGTATTACAACTGACCCATGTATGTTATTGACTCATGTAGCTTATACCGATTTTTTTATTTGTACAAACCTAAAAGAAGACAGCTATCAGAACTAGTTCTGACATGCTCACGATCGTGTTCTATGTCTCCACTTCAGAGATCACTACTAGAAAATAAAATACGACCATGAAACGCGATTGGCGATGTAATGCAACTCTGCAATAACCAGTTTCATATGCCCTGCGTGTGACATATACCTATATGCATAGATTAGAATAGAAAATGTTATGTACGGGCAAATATTCTATTTATAAATAACACTAAGACTAATAAGATATAGTATGTTTTTTCATGCAGTTACCAAATATCGCTTCTACGAAATTTCTTGCATGTTGAGGAACATGGTAAGGTTCAACTTCGTGCACGTATCTGAGACTGAAATAGGCCATCTGAACTATGCATATTCTTACAAATAGGGTTGACAGAGTGGCGGAGAATGTAATATCCCATTACCTATAGGAATAGAGTTAAATATCGACAATATCTTTGATCTTGAGATGTTTTGCCTTGTTAATAGGAACGCAGCAATGAAATGAAAAAATCTAGGACACTACAGTGATTAAAGTTTTTAGCTATTCAGGCTCACTGTTAGCCAGCTTAAGTAAGCTAAAAAAAGTGTATATTCTCTCCATACAACCATAAAATGTATTATCTCGGAGGGTTTATTCTAATTATTTTATTGTATAAACAGGACTGCCTCGGCGTATGTCCTTTTGGTGGTTTAGCACCGACCCCTCTCTGGAGGATATGTGTAAAGCACTTACTTAGATGTGGGTATCGGGTGATATACATACAAATAGGTTTGACTGTTCTATCCATCGATTTAGATATCTAAAGAAACCATGAAAGAAAACGCTCGTATAGGTAAAAGCTAATTAGTTGCTGTTCAAGAGGCGTGTTTGTACGTACGGGATAAAATTCTAGGGCGTTTTGATATGAAGAAGCAATACGTGTGACAAACTCTAAACGATCACGAGTTTAATTACCAAGAAACTAATTTTATCATTGGCTTATGCTTATCAAGGGCCTATGTAAAGATTCAGTAACTATTACCCTATTGGCTTTCTGTAAAATTTGAATAAGTCGCTCTTCTCTCTGCTACGATTAATGGATGTGGTTGTTATTGGTGATCATCGTGTTGTCAACACATACAAATTACGTACCTCGTCAATAGATTCATTCAAGTATTGCCCTCTACCAAGCTCATCAGACACGCTCTCTTACCAGTCAATCCCATTTATTTATTATAAACTGTTAAAAAAAAACGTAAAAATTGAAATTTGATAGTGTAACCAATTGGCAAAACGCCAGCGAATAGCAGAATCATCTAAGACTTCATACTTCACTATAGATTTAATTTTTTCTAGCCGAGTTTTCTGAATCGTTTTCCTTCTATGCCATGCCAATTTTCCGTCGCCGCCTCAAGTCCCTTAGTCGCCCGAAGGCTGCCGTGTCTGCTGCATAGCATTTTCGTGTTCCAGATGCGAAGTTTAAGAATGAAAAATAGGCCAATGTCGACTGGATTCCTCCACGGCCTTCACTGCAATTTTACTAGTTATACTACTGCCACGAATAATGAATTTAACACGACCTCCACCATCCGCCCCCTGTGTCAAATACGGCTTCCGTCTCTTGGCCCTATTGTGTCGGCTAGTAGCACTACTACACCTACGAGTATTCTATCTTCGCGGTGAAGACGACGATAGCGGCGGTACAGATATCGGACGCTGAATTGGCACAACCAACTTTGTTTGGGCAACTTCGACGATGGGTTATTACTTATGACTGGTGTGGCGCTTCCACTGGCTGAAAAAGAGACATAAATCAACAATGAACAGGATATTGCGCTGCAGGCGCCACGGCCATCCCAAGGCCTCGCATTGTTTAGTGTTTTACGTCCGGTATCGCCGTTAGGTATTCATCAGATAGCTGACTCTGAGCACAGAACAAAGTGCGTCTATGCCGGCATTCAAACCCAGAGCTCAACGTGTCCTAAAGACTAGCAGGTGAATACATTACCGACCAAGCTATGACGGAGACCGATGCCCGAAAACTTAACGCTAACATGCGAAGATATTGTGACGCGAGCGTAGAACTCATGTGCGATAAAACGGTGGTATTATTAGGCCTAAGATCCGGTGAACCTAACTGGTAGCCTCTTGTATTGTTCAAGAGAGCTTATGAGAGGCTGTGCCAAGAAAAGTACCATGTACCTGTAGAATAAATCAGATACAATAGATTGTCTTAGGCGAACACTTACGATGTTCATCGTAGCAATGTTTGCATCGAGGATCAAAAACATACAGCGATTTAACCCAAGCCACACGCAGACCAGCGTAATATCTCTTCATTGGCCAACTGTGATCAATCAGCCGTTATTGAGTTCGGAGTAACTCAGCCATAATGACTTAGAAAGTAAAACAGGTCTAATGAAAATACAATTGAACGGAACTATTAAGCGATGCCAGAAAGAGTATGAACTGCAGTAATGGCTGCTGATAATGATTGCTTGCCAATGGAAAAAGAAGGATACGAGATGGTAGCTATTTCTGGAAAAAATAGAATCGCACTTTGGGACAATGGGCATGGTACCATGAGTAGCGTTCAAGGCTGCGAGATAAGAGCCATTCCTGCCGGTAAATGGAGAAACGGCAGGATAGTAGACAACGAGAGCAACAAACGGCAATAAGCTGGCTAAAAGCTTCCAGGTCGTGGGCATAACCTAAACGAAAGATGCAATTTGTAGTGGTTCGGTTAAACCTGCAGTAAATGTCACGCCAAGGACAAATCTGATGAGGCTGTAATGTCGTATGCGACTTCCCAAATACTACATTCGAAAAAAAAAAAAAAAAAAAACTTGCACAACTTCCCCTTGTGATGGGAGACGTGTGTGTGACGTAACCCCCATAACAGAAATATAATGTTTTGCTCTAAGTTAAATTACCGGTACAGACTAAAAAAGATAGAGATTTTCGACACAATTTACACATTGAATATAAGAAATCTAGTAAAAACAATATAGCCAATGAATTGACAAAAGACAGACTTTTGCGTTTGAGGAATTTAATTATCTTTACTGCAAAAATTTCTTAATAATCATTATTATATAAGTATAATACACTTCATAAATATGTACATTTGATATTAACATCGACCATCGGTATTACCATGATTTCACATCGTTAGACAGGCAACAACCAAGTGGGAAACTACATTCATCACTCAGGGCTCCAATACCTCGCAAATGGCATATATATATATATATATATATATATATATATATATATATATATATATATATATATATATATAGCATCGA